GCGATCTTGCATTGTTGCCTCTGGCAGTGGTACAACAGCCTATTTCTAAAAATGGCAATGCTCAGCTACCATGATTGCCTGTGTACATGGTACACGAGGCAAGACAAATGTATGCCAAAACTGACCAAGCTTGAAAACCTCTTACAAGCTACTTTGGTTTCTGATTTTTCAGGAGGCTCATATATTCAGTTCCCCAACTCAAACCACAAACAGGCTATAGTGAAAATTACTATAATTTCTTCAGTTTGATTTGGTTTTAATGCTTTCCTGCCACAATAAATATTGGTCTCTAACAGTATAAATATAGCTCTATTGTGTAATTTTGCAGATTGAAAGAATACAAAATCCCTTCCTCTGGAAGACATACCAAATAAAAAAAATATCTCTCTGTACAAAGAACAAAAATCAGAATAATGAGAAGTTGCTATTTCATGGGACAGCTGCATCCTCATTGCGCGCGATCAACTACAACGGATTTAATCGTGGTTTTGCTGGAAAGAATGGTGAGTCATTATCCAAAGGAGTTAATTTCCTAGACATGTATGAGGTGCTAGGGAATGTCAGTGTTATAGTGCTGTCAGCACAACATGAAGACTGAATAAAATTGGAAAATAAAATCATAAATAACTCCAGAGCATAATCTCTATGGACAGAGGAATTAACCTGTTTGATTGATCCCTTGTTGATAAATGCCAACATCTAGAGGGTATCAGAAAAAGCTCACCTACTCTGAAATCAAGCCTGGGCAGCTTTTGAGAAATGTTTTGTTATGATCAGCCTACAGAAAGGAACAAGGACCATTGTTCAGTATCCTCAGCTGAGATACTAACCACTAGCTGCTGGTATCTCTTCTCAAAGGCAGGTAGCAAAGTAGAGTTGCAGATACTTCTCCTGTTGCTTCCAAAGATAAGGACAGCACAAGCAATGAGAAGATCCCACTCCCCTACCATTTTTATGCATAGGAAATCAGTTGAAATTAATAAATTAATTCTTCCCCTTTAGTAGTTGTTAAGGACAACTATTAAATATTTAGCAGAAGGACATTCTTCATTAGTTCAAAGATCATTTTGTCCAGTTCCTCTAGTACAGTCCTGTTATGTTAATTATTTGGTGGCATTCAAAGATGAAGGACAGGATCCAAAGAAGTGGAATTTGGGCTGAATTGAGGTGCCAGTTGCTCTTAGAGGTCCTGCAACCTTACTTCAAAAGTCCTTACTTACTGTTCTTAATGTTTTCTTCCTTAAGACACAATTGTACATGCCTAGGGCTGACTTGATCTTGAGAGAGCTGGACAGCTTAGCTAAGATCTAGTTGACTCTTCAGTGTGGTCTGAATCTGTCATTTCTCTGTCTGGAGCCTGTAGAGGTTCTTACGCTGCTATTTGCTTGATAAAATGAAGCCCAACATGCAGAAAATACATCAGGCTGTGCACAGATAGAAATGGCAGCCACCATTTCTTTTTAAAACATGTCCAGAGGAGATGTAGGTTTGCTTTCCTGCTCTTTGGTAGTGCCAGGAGGTTGGATTTACTCAGTAAGAAAGAGCCCTTGATACCCATGTCCTCCTCTCTCTGCCTGCCAGTACTGACATCTCCCTCTCCATCTCGGCCAAAATTTATGATAGGAAAGGCACACTTTCCTTCTGGCCGGGTGGGTAGCTATGCAAAAATATCTAAAGATCAGAGCAGCCAGATAAGGAGGACCTGTCTGCCTTGAACAGCTTTCTACCAATGTCAGAAAAAAATAAATCTCTCTCCGACAAAGAAACTTGATTCCTCTAACTTGCTGTGAAGTGTAACTAGAAAGCTGTAATTACAATTATATAGTCATTTTAAGTTGAAAAGGCTCTTAAGATTTGCAGTTTGATGGATTTCAGGCTAAACCACAAGGCTAAACAGAGAGAGGAACCCTTTTCCCCATAGGAAAGGGCAGTCAAAACCTGGGTGTTGATACTTACCCAACATCTAAGTGGATTCATATTTGATTCTGATACAAAGGCTTATTTCAAGAATTTGCTGTTTAAACTCTAACCAAGTTTATAACTTCTGCAGAGTACAAAAAAAAAAATATATAAATGGAGCTTTAGAGATTCTTATGGGAATAAGAACACTATTTGAAAATGTTGTCTTTCCAAACAGCTGCAATCATTGGAAATGGAACCTACTTTGCCGTTGATGCACATTTTTCTGCTCAGGATACCTTTTCTGTACCGGATACAAATGGCAAAAAATACATGTACTTGGCTCGGGTCCTCACTGGGGAGTACTGTGCTGGGAGCAGAGGACTGATCACTCCACCGCCAAAAAACCCAGCAGATCCTACTGACCTGTATGACAGTGTGGTTAATGATGTGAATAATCCAACAATGTTTGTCATATTTAATGACATTCAGGCATATCCTGAATACCTTATTACTTTCAAAAGCTAGAATATTCTTGATAGCCTGGAAAATTTTAGTGCCTTTTACATGTGGGAATTAACATGGAAATTCTTGATTCTTGTTTACATCCAGGTTTCTTAAACCAAGTGATTATATATCTGTCCCTGTGTTTAAGTAAGTCTTCAACTTATCAACACACTGAGGCCAGGATAAGCAAATATTTTAGAGCACGCTATTTCCATATTCACATTTCAAATTCAGTTAAGTGGAGGTGTAGGCAAGAACTGTGAGAACAGCCCTGACCTCTTCCTCCACGAGGCAGAGGAGACTGGTATGAGAGGAAGCTGTGGCCTGAAGTAAGAGGTGCAGGGTAGGTCAGTGCACCTATGCATGTTCCTATTGCCAGTATTCACCATAAACCACAATGTGGCTGGCTGCCTGTGAGGATAAATTTAAAATACTCAGTGTTGGAATAACCTCACTTGCCAGAAGAGTTTTCAGTCATTCTCATGCATCCACTCATCCTTGTTGCTGAAGAAAAAAAATCCAATATTGAACACACACTTTGCATTTGTTGTTTCACCCCCTGTGGCATACTTTGTTATTCCCTAGGTATAAATTCCTGTATTCATACCCGGTTCTTAAGGGCCCCTGCATTAGGTACATCCAGTTTTCACATAGAGTCACTGCATCTGGAATTTTCAAGACAGGAAAGAGGGACTTGTAATTTCTTCTGGTCAGGACCAAAATGTTAACTCTTCTGTAGAATTACGTGTTTGCAGAGAGTCATCTACAGGGGCATAACTCAGTTGCCACGCTTAAACCATCTGAAAACTTTTAAAAGTTCTGTGAAACAAGTAAAAAATGGCATTTGTACCTCTTTGCAAGCTGTACACTTAATTATAGTGATAATCTTACAACTGCCCATCAAAAGCAATATACACGTGTTTTTAATAAAAGTAATTTCAATCAGCATCCTTGTGTTACTGAGTCATTTACACAAGGGAACAAAGGGACACACTTCAAGTAGAACTGTTGCTTTACATGTTAGTATCTTTGTTACAGTGATGCTGTAAACAGTGAGAAGGTGAAAAGGCTAAAGCAAATTTTTTTTCTTCTTTTGTCTGAGTGACAGAGTTGTGCACTCAGACTCCAGGTGAAATTATTCTACCTTAGTCCAAAGGTGACCTGTGCTGCAAATAGCTCCCAGGATGTCTTAAAACCCCGCAGCGGTGTTCTCATTGCCTGCAAAGGGGAAAAGTGCTTACGGTATGTGTAGGTGGCAATATAAAAAATTTCTGCTCTTCACAGCAGATGCCCATGCAACACTTCAGAGGGATGTCCTGCATAAATTCACATTTAAAACAAAACAGATTTTAAGCTACTCCTGCTTTAACAGATCTTGCTCCCTGTGAACAGGTGAGGATGCTTTTTTCCCTTCTCTGTTTTTTTGGGTGCTTTTCTGTGTTGTGGAAGCACTGCAGGAGCCGGAGTGCCTTGGTTTAACTGATGGAACCAGGCACCCACTGGCTTCTCCCCTGGCTGCCACTGAGCTGCCAGGTGAGCTGGGACACACCACTTGCTCTTTGCATGGCCCTTGATATAACTGAGTGCCTTGGAAAGCAGCAGGAGCTGCAAGATGGAACGCTACAAAAACCCAGGGAATTTTTATCCCTGGTGGTGGTGGTAAAAGTTTCTTTACTGGTTTCTGTGCTAGAAACTCAGGGATTCTCTGTTGTACGGTGTTTGTGGACTGAGAAGCTGGAAAAAAAGCCGTGTCACGTACGAAAAATGTAATCCCAGCCCCGCACTAGAGCCCTGGGATGGGCTGGTGGCATCGGGCCAGCCGCAGACCTTTGCTCCTTGGCAGTCAGGTTTCAGACTCGTGACCTGGAGCAAACTCCTCAAGGCCCAGGACTCCCAGGGAGAAGCAGCTTAGTCAGGGAGAGAATAAGGGGTCTTGTTGAGCTGGGGTGCCCCCAAACCGGCTTTGATAGCAGCAAAGGCAGCCAGAGCCCTGTGGGGTGCACAGAATCTCGAGCACCAACATGATGCAGAGCTCCCCTCTGCCCTGCACAGACCTAACCGGATCGCCCCACACCGCGCTGCCCTGACCTGGATGGTGCCGCACTGCACTGCGCTGCATTGCGCTGCGCTGCATTGCGCTGCGCTGCATTGCGCCGCGCTGCATTGCACCGCGCTGCATTGCACCGCGCCGCACCGCGCCCACGGCCACCGCGCTGCACGGCCCCCCCTGCCACGACGCATTCCATTGCCCGGCACTGCACACGCTGCCCCGTGCTACTGCGTGCTGCCTCGCCCCACTGGCACCACGCTGCTGCCCTGCACCGCCGTTCGCAAAGCTTAACTCCCTAGCACTGCACGGCACTGCACGGCACGGCACTGCATTCTGCAGGGCAGGGCACGGCACGGCACGGCACGGCCCTACGCTGCATTACGCTGCATTACGCTGCGCCCCCTGCCCCGCCCTCCACCCCGAGGTGAGCCGCGCCCAATCAGGAGCGCCCGCCGCCTCCGCCCCGCCTTCTCCCGAGCTTCCCGCTCGCCCATTGGCGGGGGCCGCTACCACCAGCGCTGCCTCCATGGCGACGCGGCGGCAGGGCAGTCGAAGATGGCCGCCGAGCTGGGTGGCTGGCGTCCGGGGCCTCACCGGCGCCACCGGCTGCCGCTCGCTGCTTTTCTCGCCGCGCCGCTGCTGCTGCTGCTGCTGCTGAGCTGCGGGCGCGCCGCCGCCGCTGCTGCCGCCCTTCCTCCCTCCTCTCCCTCGTCTTGTCACCACCGCGTGCCCAGCGGTGAAGAGGTGGGGCCGCCGCGGGGGCTTCTCAGGCGGCGGCGGGCGGGGGGGTCTCCCGCTTCTCGCTGCGGTCGGTGTGTCCGTCCCCTCAGGGCTGCCCCGGGCCGAGCTGTGCGGGGCCTGGTGGCGGCGGGGGCGGGGCGGCCTCTGAGGAGAAGGGCGGGAAGGGGTTTTTGCGTAAAAACAGACAAAAAAAAAAAATAAGCCCTGGCGAGCGGGAAGGGGTGAGGGGCGCGGGAGCACTCGGTGGGGTGGCTTTGCAGGTGAGCCGCCTAATCCAGCGGCTTGTTCCTGTCCCTGCCAGGTTGTCTATCAAGTTCCTCTAAAGGAAAATCATGTTTTGAAGAGAAATGTGGATCAACAGCTAAGAATTAAGATTATATATGACAGAAGTGTTGAGGAGTGAGTATAATGTTGTGGCAATTTTTTTTGTTTGACCTCCATATCTGAGAACAGAAATCTTATTAACTAAAGCTTGTTTATTTTGTTTTGGTTTTAAATATAGTTTGCTACCTGAGAAAAGACACCTTATAAAGGTATGTAATATTTGCTTCCCCTTTTTGTTTGTACATATTTTATTACATGGATGAAATTAAGTTTAAGGTCAATTTAATTAAAAGTTTTGAATGCCAGAAATTTCATATCGTTTAGTCTGGGAAACCAGGGCTGTACGTACAGATTATGCCCCCATCCCAGATACTTCCAGTGTCTCTCGACTGCTGTTTGACAGGTATTTGGTTTATCCCAAGGCACAAAGGTTTCAGTGGGCAATACGTATATAGTTTTTAAAGCCTCTTTGAAACTGTACGTTCAAAATAACACTGTCTCCCTTCTAATTTTGTCATTCCAATAACAAAATATGGCAATACTGAAACAAAATATTACCTAAATATATTAGTAACAGTTGGACTTCTTAGGAAGTCTGGATTTCTGCTATTCTGCTATACCACAACATCTAGCAAGTTTCCTGTAACTTGGTAGTTAATGCTTTTTTAGGGTGAGTTATATCTGCACTGCTACTGGGTGACTTTTATTTTTGTTCCATTCAGAACAAACTTTTTCCACAAGCTATATCTTATTTGGAGAAGACATTTCAAGTGCGCAAATCCACAGGCACAATATTACTAAGCAGGTATGTGAAAGTTTGTTGAAAATCACTTGCTCTATTTGATACTTATCATTGCGTTGTATAGCCTTTAAAATAGAATAAGAGTGTAAGAAATGCCCTTCTGAATCAGACCAGTGACTCATCTGACCCAGCAGTGGTAGCAGATGCTATTTAGGGAGCACATACAAATCTGCCAGCCTTCTGTGATCAACATCTGCATTTGCTGTATCAGATGTTAAAGGGTATTGTTATACATGCTGCCTGTTTCTTTTTATATGTACCCCCATTTATGAACTAGTGGGTACTCCGTTAACAACTGGAAGCATCGTGGCTTCCAGACCAGGGTAACTAGCAGTTCTCACTGTAGAAGTTATATTAAGTACCTGTATTACAGCGTTGTTGGGTGCTGTAAGACTATTTTACAGTTTGGTTTTAGTAATCAAACAGTGCTGGATGTCTTTCCTGTTTGATTGAAGGCAGTGTGCAACAAACCAATATTTAAGGAGGAAAGCTGACCCTCACAGATACTGCCGAGGAGCCTGCGCAGACCATACAAGATGTGGGCCAGTTATAGTACCCGAGAAGCACCTCCAGGTAAGCTGAGCCATCCAAGTGCTTATTAACCTTTGAAATATCGTGGAAACTAATAAAAAAGTTATCACTATCTATGTGTAAGCCACTGTTTGTAGGAGATCAGTAAGTTTGAGTGACAGAATAGAACAACTTGAGTTAGTGGGAGATTCCTTTATTTAGTTTATGCTGTTGAAGCAAAAGTCAAGTAAAACTTGACCGTTTACTGTTCTCTAAGCCTGTGCTATAATGAACTGTACAGAGAGGATGAGATTCAAAACTTTTTAAATTGCTACCAGTCACTTCATTATTCACCTTGATCAATGAGTCAGATTTTCACAGAATTAATAATAAGTTTTGATTTTTTGAAGACCTTATTTGAAGATGTTATCCGCTGAACCAGGAGCACGGTTCAGGAAATGCTTCTAACTTGTTTTCTTGCATGAATTTTTGATTCAACTACAGGATTAAAAATATAACAGATTACATGTGAAATGCAATTGCTGCTTATGTATACTGTTTCTGTGAGCCAATTTTTTTTTAATTTGAAGGAAATCAAATGTTAATTTTGGGATATCTAGCTTGGCAGGCCCTTTTTTTCAAAAGCTGCCACCTTCCTGGTGTCTAATAAATCAAGAGAGCTAGTAACTTGGAAGTTATTCCTTGGTTCTGTGTTTTTTCACTGTCTTCACAGGGAGTTTTCTCATCTTCCACTGTCTTACAATGGGATTTATTCTTAGCTTCAAGCTAATTGAATTTCATCATGCAAAATTTCTGTCATAGCTAACATATTTTAATTGTTCCATTTGAACATTGTCGAAGCAATGCAGGGTATGCAGTGAGAACGAGTGGCACTGTGGGCCCACTGGCTTACCTGACCAAGAAGGGGTTCGAGATGCTGACTTTCTACTTTACGTCAGTGCCCTCACTACTGAAAGGTGTGGCCATGAAAATATCATTGCATATGCAGCCTACTGCCAGCTGGAAGCTGAAATGGACAGGCAAGTATTCACTGTTATAAATTATTTTTAAATTAAACTTCTAAGTTTTTTAATTGTTTTAATTGGTCGTTTAGATTTTGTTTTTAATTGTTTAGATGTGGAGTTTAATTATTTGCCTGTGTTGCATAATACAGCAAAGTAGAAGTCATTATTGAAATAGACAAGCACTGTATTTGTGTAAAACCACAAAACCGTGAAACAGTGCTTAACTTGCAAAGCTGAGGCATTTAAGTCAAAGCTAATTCTCCACTGTTACTGCCTAAACACTATCTCAGGGTCCTCTTTCTGCTGAAGCAAATGTCATACTTTCACAAATTTAAAGGAGCATGCAAATGGGCCCTAGTTATGTGGCTCTTGTATCTAGTTCAGTTGTAGTCCATTGAAACAGACACTTTGTACCTCTGTAGCGTCTTACCTACAACTCAGGTATTTTACACTTATCCCTAACACCAGTGCAGAATATGGAACACAGAGATTGATCCTGCCCTATCCCTCCCCTTTTCAACAGTAAACTAGTCACTGGATTGTTAACAGACTATTTATAAGTGATTGGGGAAGTTGTTTGGAAGCGCTTATTTTTACATTAGTCTCCTTTTTCTTTTAAATCTTCTGTCTCTTCAAGTGAATACAATTTGAATTTGCTAGTATTTTACTGAAAAAAAAAAAAAATTAAAACTGTCTTCCAGGCCAATAGCAGGATATGCTAACTTGTGTCCAAATATGATTTCAACTCAAGCTCAGGAATTTGTTGGCATGCTGTCTGCAGTGAAACATGAGATCATCCATGCACTGGTAAGTGTTGATGTTATAAAATGCTTTTCCCTGAAATTTATGCCTGCTTCCTCACATACCTCCAGCTTGTTGCCAGAGAAGGATGTTTGGTGGAGGAAAGCTCTTGCTTTGCCTCCTTCAGTTTGTATGTTAATCGCCTTGAAGTGTGGTACTTCCAGTGGATCTGTGGTGGATGTGAGAACTGTTTCATGGCATTTGACTTTGTACGTGAATGTCTTACCAAAGACTTTCATGTGCTTGGTTTTTAATTTGAAGGGTTTCTCTGCTGGACTGTTTGCATTTTATCGTGATGATGATGGAAGACCTTTGACAACAAGATATGCAGATGGACTCCCGCCTTTTAACGAAAGGTATTTTATTTTTTTGCACCTCTTGGTACTCCCACTGAAAGGTGTTTTCACGTTGTCTTTTTAGGATGTATTCTTGTCTGTTGAAAATCCAACTTGATTCCATTATTGGAATGCTTTGCCTTTACTGTGTTCAAGAATTAGTGTGTGGTTTTTAGTCTTTCTTATATTAACTTATATTAACCACATATATTACAAACTAAGGCAGGAATTCATTTATCAGGAGACTTGAAGTTAAGCATTGAAATTACCCACACTTAAATTTCAGTGCTTGATGAACACCTTACTAAACTGAGACTTGTATTTTTTGTAGTCTGTCTAGTGTCAGTGCAGTTAATTTTTAAGACCTATATCATTCAAGGCTTATAGTTATGAAGAACTGACGATGTATGTAGTCTGCTGCATGATTTTTCTGACTTGTTATTGAACGAACAGTTTGCATTTTTTTTTCTTCGTTGAGTTGATATTGTAGAAATGTTATTCTAGGGGGGTTTGGGGAGGTGGAATGGTAGAGAGCTTTTGATTTTGTTCACCTTCCTTTTTATAATAGCAATTCTGAGGATTTTTTTTTTTATTTCTTACACTTCTGGTAATTGCAGAAAATACTTCTTGAGTCTACAGACATCTTTTTAATAATACTACTTTGGCTTATTAAATCAGATATATATATAATGAATGCATATCTTACAAAGGGGAAATGTTGCATGATAAATTTAGACTTTAGAAAGCATGAGGAAGTATAGAGATTATTGATGATTCCGTTTCTTATGGAGATAAATCTTTGCACAGTAGCATGTATTTGTGGGAACGATTTGTAACCAAAGCATTCTTCTTACAGTCTAGGTTTGTATCAGTGGAGCAGTAAAGTCATTCATAAAGCAGTGAGGTTATGGGACATACGCGGTGGCAAAATACTGCACCATGCTGTTTATCTTCTGATAACACCTCGTGTAGTTGTAAGTGTGGATTAACTTAAACTTTTAAACTTTGTACATTCTCAAGTCATGAATATTACTTCTTAAAAAGTAGGAAATAACCTAACATTGAATACTGAAAGTATGGCCCAGAGACTATGCAATTAAGATTATATAATTAGTTGAGAGGGTGTATCCAAAGTAAAGTGGAAAATGGTTGATGGATAGTATGAAATAAATAAATTGACATAGGAAGAGACAATCAAGGGACTGACAAGTAAATTATAAAAGGTTAAGCAAAACCAGTGTTGCACAGATTCCTTAATCCTACTCTTTAGATGTTTTCCTACAGTCTTAGACACCTAGTATTCCTGTTGCCTTAACAGATAGTGTTGTTACTGCTTTTCCCATTTATACGTTCCTTCTACTTTTCTCTTTAAAAAGTATTGGTTGAATCTTTTTCTAATTTTATTGATTACAAAATGATGCAGTTAACATTTTGTCACATGTAAAAAGAAATTCCTCAAGTATTCTTGGAAATCTTTCTTGCTTTCCATGACTCTGACTCTCCCCCCCAGTCCCCAACAGAACGTATGCTTAAGTATAATAAATTGGTATTGGAAATTAGTTACAGTTTTAATCATGTTTGGCCCCAAATAATCTTTTTGGTTTTTTTTAAATCTAACACACTGTATAGAGCAAACTTGGTTTAGTTACCCCTGGTTTTAAAATTGGCCATGCTGGTCAAACTGTTCAGAGCATTAAAGGTGCTGCTGAGTAGTGCCACACTGGCGAAGGCTGGGCTCCTGACACTGAGACCGACCACAGCATTGTTGTGATGCCTCTTAAGATTTTAAAATATTTTGCGTAAAACACTTCCCCATGCAAAACTAGTTGACACGTACAACTAACTAACAGAAAAGTGGTTTTCCTCTGAAACTTTTGACAGTAGCAGGGATGTAGTGTTCCTACATTGTTCAGTGGGTTTTTTTGTTTGTTGTTGGTTTTGTTTTGTTTTATTTTTTTAATATGGTCTTAAGTGTCTGCATGGTATTCTCTGCTAATTCTGTTGCTGTTTTAGTCTTGTAAACTTCCATTGTTTATTTCCAGGCGATAAGTAGACAGATTGTTAGGCTTGGTGTTGGGATACTTGCTGGCTTAGTCAGCCTCTCAGTAGAATTGTTTTAAATTCGGAGGAAAACAAGATGGTAGAAAAAGAAACACTGAAATACTTTTAAAAGATAATTATAGAACATTAGGACTGCATACGGGTATCCACTCAATATTTTGAGAGTTGTATTGAAATGTTTTCTTTCTAGGAAGAAGCTCGAAAACATTTTAATTGTCCAATTCTAGAGGGAATGGAGCTTGAAAATCAAGGTGGCATGGGTACTGAGCTCAATCACTGGGAGAAGAGATTGTTGGAGGTTAGTGCTGATGTTAGGAATGGAGGAGGATGTGGGAATGTCTGCTCCCTCAGTCTTTATTTTTAGGTACCTACTGGAGCCTTGAAAATACAGGTATATCAAACCTCACTGAAATATATGACAAACAGTACTAAACAACAAATACTTAAATGTCCGATTTCTAGATAAATCTGTCTTTTTACCTGTTCGCTAAGTCTCAGAGTATGAGTTTGAGATAAGCTGATTACTAAAAAACTAAATTTCTCTTACTTTTGTCTGCTACTTACCCTTTTCAAAAGGTATGCTCCCTTTTTAGGGGAAAGGGGGTATTCCTTTCAGTCAATTCAACTTTGTCACGCTCTGCCTCTTATACATCAAATATTTGATCGTTCTGTCTATTCATTATCTTCACTTCTTCATCCTTATTCATGTGCTCTGGGATTAGCTTTTGCCATCTCTATTCCATAATAGAATAGAGCCTCATCTGATCAAGGAAACACTTATTTCCCTTCTAACATTTAAGCTTATTTTTATTTATAACTTTGCGTTTGGTAATGTTTTTGGCAGAGATACGCTTTCTAGTTACTGTTACATGCAGTGAGGTAAGCAAGAAGGGAAGTGCTTCAGGACAGACCTTTTTATGGAAATAATCTTGAAAAATGCATATTTCTTGAGACTGAAATTGTTAGCTTTTCCTGCTTTTTCAGTAACCTTTGGTGTGGAACAGGAGTTTAAAGCCAACTGGGAAGACTGTCATTAGAGTGAGGATAATTCTAAGGATTGAATAGGATTACCAAAAAGCAGATATTACTAGTCTCCACTTTCCAGATACAAACTTTCTCTGGAAAAGTAACCCACAGTGTCTGGTTTTGGCCTTGGTCCAACCCTCATTAAGTGTTGTAGAGATAGCAAATTTGACCCTAATAAGTTTACTGGTGGTAACTCCTCCTAACCACACTACTGGAGAGGTAAGGCTGGAACACTATGTGTTTTGAAGAAATAATAGAAATTAGATGAAGTTCGGTAATAGAAACTCCAGAGTTGTGTAATTAAGAGTGAGTGACTTTTGCTGTAAGTCTGAAGTTTATCAGGTGGAAATGACTGAGCAGGAAGAAGACATGGGAGTTACAATTGCCAGTTCTAAGATGATTAGAACACTCCAGTTGCTCTTTTGAGGATGGTGTGAGCTTGCTTATTTTCAAACAAGAGGGAGAATTCCACTGCCACAGTAACAAAGTTTCCTTTGGAGTGCTGTGTTCCTTTAGTCACGTGTCCTGTGCACCTTGCTCCTGAAGAGGACTACTAGAAATTCTAGGAAAACTAAAAATCAGACTTGCACAAGAAAATTATATGAACTTGGCTTTCATCTTACCAAAAGAAGACAGAAGATGTGGTGCAATTGCTATTGATAAATACATTAGAAGAAGACAGAGTTTTATTTCACCTAAAAAAAACCCCAAATACACATTAGTCATAAATAAGGTTTATCTGGAATTTGGAATGAGGTTTCTGACTTCTAGAATTCTGAAGCTTTGTAGGGTGGAGTGGGGAAGGGAATTGCGCTTTATGAAAGAGGTTAGGATTTGATTGTCAATAGTAAGAAGGGACTGGAAATAAAATGCTTTTTCATAGGAAGCGTTTTCTTACAATAATGATTTTCAGTGTCTTGCTAATAATAACTGGTAACTTTCAGAATGAAGCAATGACTGGATCCCATACTCAGAATCGAGTCTTTTCCAGGATCACTTTGGCATTAATGGAGGACACAGGGTAAGAATGAATAAGAATAAGGCTGTTTTTTTTATTCACTAGTGTTTTGTTTTCATTGTGCTTGATTTTATTTAGAATTGATGCATTTGTGCTTATCCATCTGCAACGCAGTAGATAATTGGCATAAATCGCATCACGTTAGACAAGGAGTTGTACCTAGTATGTTTATTTTTCTTCAAGTATTTAAAAACCCATCCAGTCTTAATTTAGCCTTAAAAAAAAATTGCACTGCAATGCATGGTACTGTTTGTAGTGTCTGTTTACTTTTTTCTTAGTACAGGTCTCTCGGTTGCATACAGTACATATTGATTATTTTTCAGCTGTTCTTGCAGATGGAGAGCATAAACTATCTGAAAAGTCATCTTTCTGTATGCATTGTTCCTTTGCAGATTACAATGCATTGCTGGGGAACAAATAAATAAAATTTTCTTTTAGTTCATTGTGACTTGAAAAAGAATGAAATTGTAATATATTGTTATAGACTGAAAGGGATGCAGTTTCACGTTTTCTTCATTTGAAAACCTTAAGGCATAGTATGAAGTTCTTTGAACTGCTGTTTTATTAACCAGAACACTAATTTTTGAAGTAACTATATATTCATTTCAAAATATCTTTATAGCTGGTATAAGGCAAATTACAGCATGGCAGAGAAATTAGATTGGGGACGCGATAAAGGCTGTGACTTTGTAATGAAGAGCTGTAAATTCTGGATCGACCAAAAGAGACAAAAGTAAGATTACACTCTTTTTTAAAAAATAAACAAGCATGAGGGTTTCCTCTTTACATTTGTCTTTCAAATGCAACTTGGTAAAAAGATGTAGAGGTAGATACAGATTAACAAGGAATGCTGTCCTAAGTATCTTTGGAATGCACCCAGGAAGGAGCACACCAAATGTATTCATACAATGGTTTGAGTTGGAAGGGACTTTGGAGACTGTCCAGTCCCAACCCCCCTGCCCCGGGCAGGGCCCCCTTCCCCCAGCCCAGGGTGCTCCCAGCCCCGTCCAACCTGGCCTTGAACCCTTCCAGGGAGGGGGCAGCCACAGCTGCTCTGGGCACCCTGGGCCAGCGCCTCACCCCCCGCACAGGGAAGAATTTCTGCCTTAGAGCTAATATAAATCTACCTGCTTTCAGTTTAAAACCGTTACCCATCGTCTTGTCACTTCATGCCCTTGTAAAATGTCCCTCCCCAGCTTTTCTGTAGCCCCCTTTAAGTACTGGAAGGCTGCTTAAGGTCTCCCTGTACCCTTTTCTTCTCCAGGCTGAACACCCCCAACTCTCTTAGCCTGTCCTCATAAGGGAGGTGCTCCAGCCCCCTGATCATCTTCGTGGCCTCCTCTGAACTTGCTTGAGCAGGTCCGTGTCCTTCTTATGTTGGAGGCCCCAGAGCTGGACACAGCACTGCAGTTGAGGTCTCACGAGAGCAGAGCAGAGGGGGACAATCCCCTCCCTCGACCTGCTGCCCACACTGCTCTGGATGCAGCCCAGCACACGGGTGGTTTCTGGGCTGTGAGCGCACATTGCTGGCTCACAGTCAGTTCTCCATCCACTAACACCCCCAAGTCCTTCTCCCCAGAGCTGCTCTCCATCCACTCCTCGCCCAGCCTGGATTTGTGCTTGGGATTGCCCTGACGCAAGGGCAGGACCTTGCACTTGGCCTTGTTGAACTTCATGAGGTTTGCACTCAAATTAAGAGTGCAAATTAAGACTATTCTATTAAGAGCAGAAGCATTCCACCCAATAAATAGAGAGCTAAATATCTCAAGGTGTAGAATGCATTTACACTATAAGAGGGCTATGCTTTAGAGAAGGGGGACTTTAAAAGTGTTTGCTTTCTTATTTTGTCCCTTTTAATTGGAAATGCAGCCTGTGTCATTTTTGCATTACTGGATTGTACTTAAAGCAACAGGAGATGACAGACAATATCAAAACCTTCCTTGTTTGTTCGTACAACTCTGTGTTTCTAGGACACAGCTGCATAGTGGGCCTGTTTCGCTTGTATGTTTATTTCTTTAGCGTTTACAAAGCAATGTCATTAAAAGTAAATAGTCATGTGCATTGTAACTTTGCTGGTGCTGTGGTTTAAGCCCAGAGGGCAGCTGAGCACCATGCAGGTGCTGGCTCACTCCTTCTCCCTCTGGGATGGGAAGGAGAAAATAAAACAAAAGGGTTGGGGATTGAGAAAAGGACAGGGAGGGATGATTCACCAGTTACAGTCATGGGCAAAAGACAGACTTATTGGAGGAAGAAAATTAATGTCAGTTTAATTTGAACACCACCACCACTGATTTACCAATCAAACCAAGTAGGATAGTGGGAAATACAACCGTATCTTAAAAACACTTCCCCCCCACCCCTCCCTTCTTCCCAGGCTCAGCTTTGTTCCTGATTTCCGAGGGGCAGGGGCTGGGGGTTGCAGTGAGGTCATCACCCATTGTCTCTGCTGCTCCTTCCTCCGCAGGGTGAGGACTCCTCACCTTCCTCCCATGTTCCAGAGTGGGATACCTCTCACGGGAGCCAGTCTTCCACAAACTGCTCCTGTGTGAGTCCTTCCTACAGGCTGCAGCTCTTCCCAAACTGCTCCAGCGTGGGTCCCTCCCATGCACTGCAGTCCTTCCAGCACCAGACTGCTCCAGCACTGGCTTCCCACAGGGTCACAGCCTCCTTCAGGCATCCGCCTGCCCCAGTGTGGGGTCCTCCACAGACTGCAGGGGGGCATCTGCTCTGGCACACCTCCCTCTCTTCCTCCTTAGTTCCTCTGACCTTGCGGTCTGCATAGGTATTTCCCTCACTGCCCTGCTCGTCTCAGGTTCCCCTTCTTAAATATGTTATCGCGGAGGCACAACTGTTACTAATGGACCCCCCTCTGGCCAAAGCTGAGACAAACTTGGAGCTGGGGGAGCTTCTAGAAGCTTCTCACAAAAGCTACCTCCATAGCTCCCTCCCCCGCTACCAGAACCCCACCACACACAAACCCAACACAGCTGGCTTGATACTCTTTAAATTAGAAAGGTTATAACCAGACAAATAACAATCATTAGCCTCCAGAGAAGAAGTTGGTGCTTTGTGTGATTGACCAAGCGTGGGGGGAGAGTGGGAACAGCCTTGACAGACTGCTTAGTTAAATTATTAAAAGCAGTTAAAGTGATCTAATGGATTTTTACTCTCTTTCTCTTTTTTTTTTTTTTTTTTTTTTTTTTTTTTGAGGAGGCAATTAATCAGTCCATACTGTGACACTTTGAGGAGTAATCCATTGCAGTTAACCTGCAGGCAGGACCAAAGAGCAGTGGCAGTGTGCAACTTGCAGAAGTTTCCAAAGCAGTTACCTCAGGAATATCAGGTATAATGGATCGTACTTTACCAAATAATTAAGTGTTTTCATTCTTGTGCTTTGCATCCAAGTGATTATATTTGTTCTATCTTTTGCTTCTGAACTAGTAGACAAGAGTATGTAGTGTGAAAAACATCTTTTTAGTTTATTATAAGGAGTCTGGAGGCTGGAAAAAAGCCTTGTAATCTTAATAAAACAATACAAATATCACTTGGCCATCTAACCAAATATCAGATAGATACGTAGCTGTGTAACAGAAGTCCCCCAGAATGTTTTGTTTGAGGTATTTCTTCACCCAGTCTGATGCCCTGTGTCACTACACACTAGGAAATTCGTTCTGTTTCATCCCAGAGAATGCTATGATTGCAAAGGAGGGGTGGGGAGTGATGCATGCAAATGTGTATCTTTTCGCATTATTTAAGTATTCTTAAATAATTCTGGCTCATCTGGTTCATGGGTATTGTAAGTTGCTGTTAATAGCATTGCTGCGTAGTAATAGCTGATGTTCTTACAGCTGTAGTGATTGTTCTATTTAAAAAAACAGTTGTACGCTTGTCTTTGCACAGACTGTTTCATGACCTATTTTGTTTTGCAGTATTTTGACAATCTTAATGGAGTACCAGCAGAAGAATTGCCTTATTATGGTGGCTCAGTCGAAATTGCTGACTATTGTCCCTTTAGTCAAGAATTCAGCTGGCATTTAAGTGGTGAATTTCAACGCAGCTCAGACTGCAGAATAACTGAAAACCAACCAGGTCAGTTTTCAAGACTTCAGTATGGTATTTAAGAGATGACATTTGTTAATCTGGAATGGACTTGCTGTATATCCACATTAATTGGATGTGGAATTAATTTTACACTGCTAGTTGTGGAAAAGCTGTGCTGGGGTGAGAAGCGCAGCACAACTACCTTTTATACCTAGGAAGCACACACTCACCTCTAATACAAGAATTGCATAAGCCTTGAACAGAAATTAACCACAAATGATCCAAACATAAGACAAAAGGTGGGGGTGAGGGTTGTTTGTTTGTTTTTTGAGTCTCTGAAAAATAATTCCACCCTTGTAGGTTTTGGGTTTTTTTTTTTGTTGAAGGCAAGGAGCTTTGCGAATTAGTAGAACACGGGCTTGTCTCCTAGGATAGTGCATGAGCTTTCAATATCGCAGAGCTCCAGAATGCTGTAGGATATTATCTGTCTGTGCACTTGTCTCAAAAACAAATGAATAAACACCCTCTGCCCTCAAGCCAGCAGTCCCAGCTGGCACTCCCTGGACGCAAACATATCCACATAGTTCTGATGGAAGGTGCTTGCCTTTTTTTTTTTTCTTCAAAAATCTTTGGTTTCTTTCCATTTTATATTCAAGACAGTATAAATCCCAAATTGATAATGATTAACGGTCTGAAAGATTCCAAAAGTAAATCTTGAATTGCATGTGGAGACATTGACTAATTATAGCATATTAAGTTGATGTGGACTTTCTGTTCCCCTAGTAAGTTGCAATTCAGCATATTCTTTCTACCTTAGATCCTACCAAAAACTATGGTGCAGAGAAATACGGACCAAACTCTGTATGTCTTATTCAGAAATCTGCTTTTGTCATGGAACAGTGCAGGAGGAAACTCAGTTACCCCGACTGGGGCAGTGGGTGTTACCAAGTAAGTATGTGTTGGGGTTTTATTTTTATTTTTTAAAAAGAACACTAAAGGCATAAAATGTAGGCTGTAACTGTTAGAACTTTACACCTGGTCATCTTCTTTGCCTTAAATTGCTAGATTATATGACATGCTTTGAAAATAAGTATCTTCCAACCATAAGCCTGTAGTTTAGATCACATGTCGAGTTAAACGTGGGACAACTGGGATAGATTGTGCGTTACTTCCAGTCTTGCTGTGGATTTCACCTGTCTTACCCCTGTGACATTTGCTCCACAGCTAAGCAGGAATACTTATATTGGAATCTTCTGTTTTTCAAGCTTAATGTTAACTAATCACTCTGATTTTTCAAAGGTGAGAGCACTGTGCACGTGTCACTTACTTTTCATTATCTTCCTCTTCAGGACTATCTCACTAAAGGTGTCACTTGGAACAACAGCACAATTCTAAAAAAACAGTCATTAGCAGAAGCTGAAGTTTACTTGTTCTCAGTTGATGATCTGCATAATTGCACTAAAAGAGTACAGTCAGTGCTTTAAGGCATTCTTGAATGAAATAATTGCTCTGAGTGAATTAAAATACTTGCAGTTAATCTATGCTCTAATACCAGGTGTTTACTGAATGTAGTATTTACTTATTGAAAGAGCCTCCAAATCCCAAAACGTATTTCTGATAAATCATAATACAGACTTGACTTTTATTCTTTTATTTGAAGGTTTCTTGTTCCCCACAAGGGCTACATGTTTGGGTCAAGGACACTGTGTACTTGTGCAGCCGCTCAGGTCAGGTATTAACCGTGAGCATTCAGATGAATGGCTGGATACATGTTGGGAATTTGATTTGCCCAGCTTGTTCGGACTTCTGTGACTCCTGTCCCCCGGAGCGGGATCCTCCAGCTTCTAACTTAACAAGAGCTGTGCCAGTTGGTAGGTTGCCTTATTTGCTGAAGTGAAATGTATTATTAACCGTCTGAAACCTCTAAAGGCTTGTGTCAGCTCTGTCAGGGAACAAGAAATGAGAACCATGGCCTGGCTATTCTAAGATCCTAGGTATTAGGAGTTAAAGGAAGATAGCAAAGGTGCCTAGCTTTTTGTTGTGCAGTCGTGCAGGATAGTGGCTAACGTAGGGGAAACATGTCTGAAACAACTACTTCATGTCATGTCTCTTCCCAGAAATCTAGCTTTAACCTATAAATTTATCAGAAAATCGGATCTGTGTTTTGAAGCCCATATCATTATTACAACCTTCAAAATAATCACTTGAGTGGAAAGTGAGTTCTCACTTGCATAACTTTTCATTGACAATGTTAATGCTGTAATCTACAACATGAAAGATAGGTGTCAGTTTGCTTTTTGAGAGAGGAAAAAAAGTGTAGTTCATTGACTATCAGTTAATGTTCTGTCAAGAACAGATGACTTTCTAAAAAGTCAACTGATGAAAGAGAACAGTCTTTACAGTATTTTGCACTAGTGGCTTATTTTTAATCCTTTAACCAATTCTTTCTGTTGGATGTGCTATCTCTACTGCTGTTTTCAAGTTAAAAATGAACCTGTTTAGTTTACCTGCACGCTCAATTATTTTTTCAAAGTGGTGCACTTGGGTTTGTGTGTACCATTTCAAATAGTTTTGTTTTGTCTCAGAGATGGCAACTCTTCAGTGATTGGTGGAACGAGTCCTATAGGTTTGATTTTAGGAGGAGAAAGCTGTAACCTAGGAGATTCACATCTTCTAGCATCTATTTGAATTCATGCTTGGTGTTTCTTACACACACACACACATATATATATGTGTATATATATATATATATGTGTATATATATATATATATGTGTATATATATATATATATGTGTATATATATATATAAAAATTTTATCTGTACAAGTTTGCATTTGTGTCCATGGGGTTTTTTTTAAGCCTCATGGCTGTGTGATTACCTGCCATATGGACAGACTCCTCCCTGATTCATGTATTGGGTTTTCCCTCTCCATTTCTCCCCCTTCCCCGCCTCTTCAGCTTGGTGTTTTTTGGCTTGGGTTTTTATATGACTTTACAGCCATACAGACCAAAAGTATTAATAAAAGTCTTTCGAGAATCTATGGTTTCTCCCCAGTCACATCATAGGGAACTTCCTGCTCCTTCCTTTCCATACTGTTAAATTTATTCTCATTTGTTCTCCTAATTGCTATTACTGAAGGAATGCAGAAATTGATTTAATTGTAAGGGAAATAATCATGTTATTTAGTTGGTCTGAATTCCTTAAAATAGCCTTGAAAGCTAGAATAAATCGGTGCAGACTACTGCAAATATGTTTTTGCTCTTTGGTGCTTTTTAATGTTCTCTTTGTTATTTTATCTTCAAGTATAAAATCTATAAGCTTTATGGTATTTTGTTTTTTATTTCAGACTTATGCTCCTGCTCATCTAGCCTGGTTGTAACCCTTTGGCTGTTGATGGCTAACTTAGTTCCCCTGTTAACAGGATTATTCCTCTGTGCATAGAGTTAAGCACGGGGCAGGAAGATGTTCCAAGATGGTATACTGTCATGTTGCACTCCTTATTGTGGAGCACGGAGCTTTTTGTCTCTGCAGGCAGATGTCTTCTGCTGAACCTCATCTCTCCTGGCAGGTACCGGTGCAGACAGTAGTCAGGGAGCTACTGACAAAAACAGCCAGCATTTGAGAGGAGGAAAATTTACCTTGTCATCTTAATAAGTGCCAGTATTTTCCTGCAACCTTTGATTTTTTGACGCAGTAACCAGATCCACTATGCCAACTGTGTTAGACTACCTGGAAACTCGGACAAGATTTGAAACAAGAACTCGTCTGTAATGAAACTGAGGGTTGTTTTTTTGTTACATCCTCTGTGTGACTGGTAGCAAAGCATCCTCAAACTGGAAATATACCTCAGTGGTTTAGTCAAAAGCCATGTAAAAATCAGTTGTCATCACTGCTAATAACCCAGACCTAAACAGGTGTGGGAATTCTTTTGTTTGTTTTGTCAATTCTTACAATTTATTTGGGGCAGAAATCATTTAGTGGGATAGATCAGTGGTTGGCAGTTGTCTCCACAATCGGATTCTGCAGCTTTGAGGCTTCTCAGAATTCTTACCAGTTTGTGGTAAAATGACTAATTCTTGGGCTTCACTTAAACCTTCCTACGTGCACAAAGTGAAATTTCAGACTGGTAAGCAAAACAGCTGTCTAGAAATCCCATTCTCATTTATCATGTGCCACTGAAATTTAATACATCAAATGTTTGAATATTCTCAGAGTTATCTGCTAGGCAAATCCATTTCAGTACTGACACCCAGTCTGTAAAATTGGGATAGGATTTCTGATTATTTTTAATTTTGTTGGTTTGTTTCTTAAATAATGACATTTTTAAAATAGTATGAATATAAATGCAGCTATTCTCATTTTTTGTTGAAGGGTAAACCAGTAGCGATGGCAGCTATAATCTTACAGGACCACGTTGACTTCTCTAGACCAAAAACTATATTGAATGTGTCAAAAAAAAAAAAAAGTCTAATCTGTCTTTTTTTTTTTTTCCCCCTCTACTTTTTCTTGGGCATATAAATACTATGGTTTATTTGAGTATTTGTAGTAAGTTGAGAATAAGATACTTTGAACCACACGAGGGCACACTTTGGTACCAAATTAATTACTTGATGGACAAAATATATAAGATGAATGAAATGAGCAAAATCTGTCTAGCTAAGGACAGGTGGTCTATAGGACACCTGTAAGGAAGTTTTTATTTGTTGCTGACTCTATAATGCATTACAAATAATCCTGTCTGGACTAGAAGAAACTTAAGTGGTCCAATCCGTTGTCTGTCCTGTTAGCGTAGTTTTCATTCTTGGAAAAGTTAAACTTGAGGGAGTAGACATGCCCAGTGCACTACAAAATGCAAATATATGAAAAAGATTGTTATTCTGCTTCTTAAATGTGCTGTGATATTATAGTTGTCAATGACTAGGTCCCTTTATAAAATAAAAGGTAGAGGGATGGAAGGGGTATGAAGTAAAATTTATTTAGCTACAATTGAACTTGTTTAGTAACGGGACTTTCATTGTAACTGCAAGAAAATCTTTGTGCCTACCAGACTTGTGGGTTTTTTATTTAAAGAAACTCTTACAACACTGCTGAGCTGAGTAAGCTGCAACCTAAAACTGTCTGAAGGCATCACAACTGAGAGAGTACCTTGCACTGGGCTAGTTCCTCTTCTTAACTGCAAGTTAAGTTTGCTTTGAATTATACAAGGCCTAGGCTAGCCTTAAATAGGTGTTTCTGAGAAGCAATACAAATTAGGAATCAAATGCTTTAAATGTGTACAAGTTCGAATTAAGAAGCACTCGGATTAATAAGTGAACACTGATTATTTTAATATATGCACACTCCACACTTGGTGTAAACTGATTCCTTGAAAACGTAGAAGTTTGAGAATACAACTTAGGTCCCAGAGGTTGATACTGTATTTTTTGTCTGTTGTGCAATAATGCAGTTTAAATGGTATCACTCAACAACAGTGCTTTTGATACTTGAAAAGAAATTATTGGTTATTTTTACTTACTGTGAAATATTTGCACTGTCTGAACTTTCTGGTTAACTTTATAGCTGTTAAAACTTTTTTACTGATGTTAACTTATTGTGCTTGGTATTTGATATGCTAGTGTCCTGTTGGTGTAAGTGTGAAATTTGTCATATTTAAGTGAATATTTTTATCTTCTACACAGTTGTTTATCTTGAGGGCTTTTCTTTTATTCTCTCTTCCTGAGAATTAACTGAAAGATGGCTTAAAAAGTCAATGCTTACCTACTTCTGAATTATATGCATTAATTAAAGAAAGAGGCTGTAGTGCATTGTACCTACAGGGAAAAACCTATCTGCCTGTCAGAGCTCTTGTTGTCAGATTCACCAGTACCTACTGAGTAGCTGCATCAGTGAATCCAGTTAAGTAAAACTATTACTGCCTTAATACTCTGAGATTTCAGTCGTAATTTCTTTGACATGCAGCCATTCAGCTGGCTGTGAACTGCAGAACTGGACACGACTTGGGGGAGTTGGGGAGGGAAGGTACTTCAGCAGTCAGAATCCAGCATGTTATATCCTGTCGGTGCATTAGCAGCTGTAGCCGTGTTGGAACGGCCAAAAAATGCGTCAAGTTCAATTTAAAGCGAGAATGAATTGGTGACTCTCAAAAAGAATATTTGAGTAAAACTGACTACCTCAGTTCTGTTTGTCTTTGAGTTAAGCTTCTAGCATGCTGTGAACTTCCAAATCTTCAGATGAATTAAGTAAAACCACATCTCAGTTTTTTAAGAGCAAAACAAATACAGTAGGAAGTGTAAGCCATTTTTGATTGTAGAACACTGCTAAAATTTGTAGCTTAAACCAGTCGGTTATATAGCCTTAAGTGTAGTTTCCCCCATAAAAGTCGGTATTGGTTTTAAATAAATACAAAGTTTGCAGGCAGCTACTTTAGGTGTTCTGACCATATTACGGCAAGTCCATCTTCTTGTATCTCTTACATGTGAAAACTTTGAAATATAGTCTCACTAAGCGTTTGTGTTTTCACCTGAGTAGATAGGGCAACAGGAGCCCTGGAAATAGTGCTAAGAGATAAATGAGTTAGCTTGTCTGCAGCAGATGCACTTTCAGTATATAACATCAACAGTTTTAATGTTTTAAAAACCTTCCGTGTTTGGTTTTGGAAGTAAATTAGTCTCACGATCTGTTTTACACCCCAGTAGTTCAAATCCAAAGCATTTAAATTAGAAGTCGAGACAAGGAACACATTTTTCTAATGTTTCAAACAAATATAAGGCAGAAGGATGGCTTTTGGCAGGAATATGCAGCAAGTAAAATTACATTGAAAAGCAGGCAATTCATTCTTCTTGAAATGAGTTGAGGTCTTGGGAGACTGTCATGGCCCTGGTTGTAGGTTGATTACCAAAAGAGAATTTTGACCCCCATGAATTGACTGTCAGTCCAATGCAGCTCATTCTGTCTGCTGAGCACTAGTATATTGGGAAGACTGATGTCACCTAAGAGCAGACATATCTACAGTCCCTTACAAGGGCCAGTTGTTTTTAAATCTTCCCGTCCTGCAAATCTTTTGCTTGCGTGTATTTCAGAAGAGAGGGAGGCGTATGTCCTTTCTTCCCCGCATTTCCTAGGAGCGGCTTTCTGCCAGCTGAGCGGGTCAAGGTCTTTCCCTGCAAGATTTAAAAAGCAGCTTTTGCTTGGCTGAAGGCGTGGGTGCCTGCTTGCACGTATCGCTCGTCAGGGTTTGGGTCTACTTGTATACTGAATAATGTGCTTTTACACTACTGGACTTCCAAAGTGCAAATGTTGCCTTTTTAATGTGAAGCTTACCTTGGAGATAAAACAACTGTTTCGAGAGAACTGGCTGACCTTGAATACATATTTCCTATTTTGGTACAGAATGTAAATATAGAACAAACTATTTTACATAGATTTTGACTGGATTGAGATATAAGGGCTAATTTTTGTTATTTAGGGAGTAAAAACTTCCTTATTTTACTGTGTAAAAAAAGTATGTCATACAAAAGAAGAAAAAATTGTTCATCAATAAAACGTCTGTAGAAAATTAACTCTTTTTGTCCTTTTCTTTGAGCTGACAACCAACTGCAAGAATAAGTGTGAAAAAGGACCACAGTCATTTATTCTGTGAGAATTTTGAAAAATGAAACTACATCAAGTCTGAATGTTGATCACTTTATTAAACTGTTATTTGATACATTTTGAATGTAAAATGTTCTCTGTTACTATTAGCTCATACATCACTTATCAGAAGTTCAGCCTGCCAGTGAGGTAAGGAAGTCCCCGAATTCTCTATCCCATCCTCACGTATTTGACGCTTAAAAATCACGCAGTATTTAAGTCTTTTACCACTTGAAACGGAGGACCATATTTCCCTGTTTTGTGTAAAGGGTTTGGCCGGATGATTCCCGTTTCAGCGGAAGGAATGTTGGCGTTGCCCTGCGGAGCCGCGAGCCCTCGGCTGTGGCAGGACTCGGAGCTGGGGGAGGTGAGCCACCCTCGCTGCCCTGCGGCAGGGCCCCGCGGTGCTGCAGCCAGTGCCTGGTACCTGAGCCACCACTGCTAGCTGAGAGACTGGGGTTTTTACAATATAATTACAATACATTTTTTAATATATATATATATATTACTCTGATAAATGTGAAAGAACAACATTCTTCTAAAATGCAGAGTGGAGACAATTTTATAACGCAGCTTCCCCCCCCCCCCCCCCCAAGCAATATGTCAGTGAATATATAGACAGATTAAAAAAAAACCACTTGCCTTCCTCTGCTATTTTGGAAAATCGGATAAAGCAAAGCAAAAGTAGGTTACTCTTCCTTTTTGTTTGTCTTGTCTCAAAATAGGTGTCTTTCAAAAGGGTATTAAAACTTATAAAATGTGCCATTGCTCATTCCATAGTTGGCTTTAACGCTGAAAAACATCAGGTATGTAAAGTTACCCAAGTACAGCTATAAGGTTTAAAAACTTTTATGTTTCTAAAATTAATGCCATTAGTAGCAAAATAAAAAAACTGGCATATGAACCAGTTAGTGTTTAAAATTCAGAAGTAGATCGAGATCTCTCTCTTCCGGAGTGTAAGATGCGTTGCTTAAGCTACAGCAGGACCAGGGTGTTAGTCTGCAGTCTGGAACGACAGGGGGGCTGCCCTGCTGTCAGTCCCGTGGAGTCTCCTGACAGAGTTAAAATGCAGCCCGCTTTCAAATGCAATTTTACAGCATTTCTGTGCGTCTGTAGCGGTCATTTTCATGCGTGTATAAAACGTCAAGTATCACAGGGGGTTTTTCACTGTTGTTACATCCTCAGAATGACCATTGCACAGGCTGCACGCTGAGCTGTGCGTACATCCTCCTCGTCAACCTCCAGTTCTCCCCTCTCGCCTAGTACCAATTAATGGCTCTGACTTGCTGAGAAATCCTGACACTAACATAAATGTATTTGGCTATTCCAATTTTTTTGTCCTGTATTTCAATGGAATACAGTAAGTTTAACAAAGGTCAGACGATTACTAAGGATTCCTAGTGTCCTCAATTTGAAACAAACAATCCTCCTCCTTTTTCTTCCTTCCCCCTGCCCCTTAAACTGTTTTATTCATGCCTCCGCTGAACATGCACATCTGTCTGAGCACAGTAACAATACCTATTTTTCCAAAGAGGCTTACACTAGGGAATGAAATCAAAGGACCAAATATCACAAAATACAAGAAGTTATTTGTGTTTGAGGGGAATTAGGGGAAACCCAACATTTGCCCAGCTGATTGCATCTTATTGATGTGAGACCTTTTTTTTTACTATTTTTCTGTTTGGATGAGTTCTTCAATTTTTCCACACCTTGTGCTGTTCTGTAAGTAATATCAGTAGGCAAGATGTTGAGGTTCATGTGAGCTAAATTACAAGGGGAACTGTTTTCAATCAACAAGGTAGTAATTCGAGGGAAATGCTCACATTACTAACTCAAATCAAATACTGTTAAATTTTACATTCATTTCCTGTTCCTTGGGTATAATGTTGAAATTAAAGGCAGATTTTTTACCCCCCAGAGTGAGGATAACAAAATACATTCCTTGTTGCTTCTACAGCAAGTGTTGTCACACAACCTGTTTCTCTACTTTATTTGCCGTGGAGTGGACAGAAGTCCTGGGAAGATGAGAATGCAACCAGGTGAGGAGAGGGGATCTCTAAATGTGCTCTGGGTGGTTCTGCAGGCACGCGATGAAATCCTGGATCGATTGACCCTCGTAGCAGATCTTGTAGATGGTTGTAAATAATGGAAACCTAGAAGAATTACGTAGCAACAGAAATAGTTTTTAAAGTTTATATAAACGTTTCCGTTCCATTTATAATGGGAAAAAAAATCTTTATTTTTTTTAATTACAGTGCAAGGAAAGTGGAAAATTTTTCTTTATAATATAATTTTAACTTGGAGGTGTCTTTACTGGAAAACTATATAGGGCAATTAAAAGGAGCTTGGGGCAATTCTTGGGAGTGACAGCAAAGAACAGCTGTTTTGGAGACAAAATTCATATTCAGTATTTTTTATTTACAAAAAATCTTGAATTGCATATCCTCTTTTTCCACCTGTGTGCAAAATCTAGAAGACTAAAAAGAATTAAAATGTCTAATTTTCCTTTCCTGGTTTAAAGGGCTCTTTCCCTTTTTCATGCTGTCTTAGTCATTATGTGGTAAAAATGTGTCCCCTGAATGACTTGGAGCTGAGTGTGCAGCTAAGTGCAATTACAGGATATTTATTAGATCAAGTTTTGATCTAAAGTTCACATCCTGTCAAAATGATCTTTTCACTCTCATTTTTGAAAGACAATGCCACTCAAATCTTCCGTATCTGTTATAATTCTAATATTTTGTGTTTTTTTTTTTTTAAAGTATTCATTTAGTGCTGTTTGTCCTCTTCATACCACTAACGTATGAGAGGGAATGGGATTGGAGGGAGTTTAGTTTTTCTATTGTGTAAGCTGAGACAAAGGTTTCAAATTATAAATAATTTTACATTGTCCCAAACAATTAGAAGTACTTTTTATCTCTGCATTAATTGTTGCACTAAAGCATTGATATCAGAACATATTATTCAAGGCATATAAAAATTTTTGATGAGGAGTATGCTTCCAGATTTTATGCTGAGATAACCTAGTTAACATTTGCACTGAGAGCAGTATTGCTGCAAGCTGTAACAGTGATATAGTGAGAACAAGAAACCCTTTGACCCGTAGATCATGTTTGCAAGCTGACGCTGTGTACGGCCCTCAATCTTGTGTAGGGGGACAGGGATGTCTGGGGTAACTCCTTTGGTTTATTATTTCTTTTGTTTCCTAGATGTCTGTGGCTTGTTTCTTCTAACACTGTTAAGCCTTCATTGCATTCCACTGACCATGAGCTAAACTGAGCTCTAACGGTGGCCCAAGACGTAGAAAGCAGTTGTTATGGAAACAAACAAGATCATGAAACACAAGTACCATTACAGTTACTTAAACAATCATTTGTTCATGGTTACGTTTTCTTTTTAAACAAAAGCACTTACTTATCAAGCATATTTTTCTGTTTCAGAATCTTGTAGACTTCGGCTGAGGTCTGAGGACCTTGCAGCTTCTGTCCATTCAGCATCTCATTTTCCAGATCCTCAATGGACTAGAAGAGAGGAGACTGATTACTTGGATCAGAGGGGATACTGCTGTGATACCAGCAGTTATCAAGAAGGTAAACAGCTAATGATGCCTTTGTAAAACACAGAAGGAATTCTTCATGTTTTAGTTTAAGATATTTCAAAATCCCCCTTACTTTTCCTGTGCGAGCAAAGGCTTCTGCTACTTTCCTGTTGCGTCCGCCGTAGCAGGTAGTGATTAGATCAGCGACCCCGCAGCTTTCCAGAAAAGTGGCTATTGATACTGGTCCCCTGCAGAACATCTTGGCAAAGGCCACCATTTCCATAAGGCCCAAGCGTATAACCGCTGCCTTTGTATTATCACCGAAATCCAGTCCATCGCAGAACCCAGCTCCCACTGCTACAATGTTCTAAAAACAGTTTCGTGCGAAATATTGGGGAGGAAAGGAAATGATCAGGCAAGACATGTGGTTCATCAGCATGCTCTGAGCTTTAGCAAAATCCTACAAATCTGTCTTAACCCCGTTCACCAGAAGAAAGTTCGATTTCTAATGGCCATGAGTTTATGTTAATTACTGCTGAACAGAAGTAGCTGGGCTTCTAGAAGGTTGTTACAAAGTATCTTCTGTTATTCCCATGGGCAAAAATCAAAATTGTTTATTATAGTAATACTGCAATCACATAAGCATGTATGCAATTAATATTTTGTTTTTCTGCTAGTTCCCAGTTGGGGCTCACTGACTTTTCTGTTCTAACTATTTAAAATATCCCACATGGAGTCATGACTTTCCAGGTTTTCTCTGTGAATCTCTAATTTAAACAGACGTGTTCTATGTACTGATGCTGCAGTAAATCAAATTTTGGTTTCACCTGCAAAAACAGTCAGTAGAATTGCCCTTTTCTACAGCTTTAAACAAATCGCTCAGGATTCTAAACATCCTCACAACACCTCACCATTGTCCTGCATACCTCCTGTCCCACCTCCCAATTCCTAGCTCCTCAATAAGTGTAGTTCACTGTACATGGGTAATATGTCACCTAGTATTGCTGTTGAAGTGCTTGCTCCAGCGCAGAATTTTATTTTTTTTTTTTTAGCAAAGGCAGTGCCAAAGCAATGATTTCAAGAAGAGCAAATACTTCCCACAAAGCAGAAACAACCTCTGTCCCCTCTGTGCCTGTCCCCAGTTCCAGTCTGTGGCCAAAAGCAAAATCTGGGGGTATTTGGTTTTGTATGTAAAGAAACTTTTATTTTTGTATGTAAGGTTAGACAGGACCAATTCTTCCCTAGCCAGTGATCCCCTCTCCTTGAAGGAAAGGTGAATTTTTGAAGCACAAATGATTGGACGTATAAAACAGTACAAAGCATCACAGGCTGGAATTGCTTTCAGCACATTTAAAAGAAATCTCTGAATCCAATTCAAGTGCACTCTCATTGGTGACTTGGTGATTTTGGTATTGCTCTGATCCAGTCTGGGCTCTCAACCTGGGCATTGCTGAGCACTGCACAGACGTGCTGCCAACATAGAGCATTGCTTCTGATGCAAACTTTCTAGCAGGTTATTACTTGAACCATGGAAATAAGTTATTACCAGGAGCTGCTATATGTAGCGAGAGTCTTTGTTTCATGTGCTTATGGTGTGCAGACAAGAAAATACAGTGGACTAAGTTCTGCCCTCAGAAGCAGAGGTGCCTCTGGTTAAAGAAAGATGAAAATACAACTATTTTGAAATGCTTTGCCAGCACTTACAAGTAAATTTTCCCTTTTTAACAGATTGGAAAATGGACACACAAACATCTTGTCTGTGCTCACTCATCACACGGTGGCAGGACTCATATTATACCCTGTAGCTTACAGAAGACTCAGGTGAGGGTATAATTTGGCCCTAATAAAAACATTTTGGTTTGAAACCACTCACTTTTAAGGCTCCACAAATCTCCACCGTATCAGAGTCAAGCACCACGGTAATCCTGAAATTGGGGGTCTGCATTAATTCTTTAAAGATCTCCCCTTGTTTTTCATTTTTGCACCCTGTGGGAAGGAAGGATGAAAGTTAGAGCATTTTTGCAGTGTTTCAGAATACACACAATTAACTGAAACCTGACACAAGGCCCCAGGGATCTCTTTACTGGGACCGCAAAAACCTAACTGGGTGTTGCTAAACAAGAGATTTGTGTGACAGCAGTTCCTGCTGCTGAAAGCCAGTGTTAAATGTCTGCAAGTCCCAGGGCACTGTCCAAGCACCACTGAATAACGCTTTAAAGAGCTTAAAAGTAGATAGCCCCTAGCACAGCTTTCTGCCTGAGAAAGCTGGTATAACCACAAACCCTGCAAAAGATGGATCTGATCCTGCCAGCCCCAACTTCCCCGAATATCACGCTGCCTCCCTGAACCAGCTCGGCGGGTGCCGCACCCGCCGCATGCCCCTGCCTCCTCCAGAGGTTATCCTGTGGCCCGGCCACGGGTGAAGTTAAACCACAGCTACCGGCTCTAATTTGCTCTTTGCAATAGTTACCAATGGTGGTTTCACAGAACTTCTCATCAGCCACTTCTTTGGCTATGTTGGCCCCCATGAGCACACTGATTTCTATTTTCAGTTTCTCTCGAATGAGGTCAGATATGAGCTTCAGGCCATCAGGACCCTCATCGATCCCCTGAATAAAAGACAATAGTCAAAGCCAAGTTATTAGAATAGGAGAATGACAGCAGTAGAGCACTGGTAAAGCAGAAGGTATCCTATTGCCTGCAGCTCTCTGATTTTAATTGGAAGGATTTGGGTCTTATATTCAGTAGCATTAGCCATTAATACAAATGCTCTGGGTTTGTACTTTGATAATTGCAAATTCAGGGAGAAGGTAGCAACAGTTGAGGTAACCCTGCAAGAGCCCCACATCCAGTGCTGCTGTTCTGAGGCTTTCTTTGATGCTCTATTTTTCCTTTGTGTTAAATTCCTGTAGAACAGAACAAGAGTTTCACATTAAGTCCACAGGAAGTGGCTTTTTTGCAAGATCTAAGTATTAATCTGAGTGCTTCGCTGGTATGAAGGAGTATGCTGAACTGTCTTGGGTTTTTTTAAGCTAAAGAAAGAAGTAAATTTACAGGAGTTTCCTCCTCCCATTCTCCTCTCATCTGTGTGCTGCTGCTTGTGAGATAATTTCTATAGGGGAAAAAAAGGTGGGAGGAAGATCTGGTCTTGCAGTCTGAAAACTTGAATTACATTTCTTTCTTTAAAATTTTAAATTAGATATTTCCTATAATGCAATCAAAAGAAGAAGTGGTAGACTATATTCTTATGCTTCGCCCCTGGCTTTTAGTTTGAGATTCTCTTAAAATATTATTTTTTTTCAAGATTATGATAATCTGGTACCTCTAGCCTTAAAAAGAGATTCCTCAGTTCATGCCGGATTGAAATTGCTTCAGTTCTGCAAAATCATTAGTCTTATTTTGCTGTTTTTAATGCTGCCAGGAACAGCTTTAGCATGTACTTGAAAGAGAGGCACTTTGACCCAGCACTCTTTCCAATTAAGAGTTAATCGAGGCTGTAGTCTGATGAGTATTTTTCCTGGTAGCAGCACCAGCTTCTGTAGCCCATCCGCTGCCCGTTTTCACCTCCATGCTGGTCCAAGTGGGAACTGATCCCAGCTAAAGATGTCTGGCAAAGACGGTTACTCTTAGCCCAGCTGGGTTGCCCCATCCTTTCCTCTCCGTGGCCACATGAGCAGCAGAAGGGCTGGCAGAGGCTGGGTAAGTTTTAACTCTCGCAGATTGAAGTGCTTGTGTTTATGGAGAGCATGCAGCTGAGGAGTGGAGCTCCTACCCTTAAGTTGAAGCTACTGACTCCATCCAGATTGAGTCTTGTGGAGACGACAACTTACCTTGATCAGTGAAATTCCAAATGTCCCGGGTTTTATCTGGCCTGCGATCTGCTCACAGATTCGTCCGACAAATTGATGTGGCAGAACGAACACTAAAATATCTACCCCATTTGCTGCTTCGACCACGTCTGGTACAGCCACCTGGGACAAGAGTGACAACTGAAATGAGCTCCTCACACTTTGCAAGATACCAACATGCCAAAGCCATTGAAGACACGCTGCAAATGTCCATAACTTTAACTGGCAGTGTGGTGTAGCTGCTAGCCCTTCATGTGAGCAACTGCAGCTCTCTTCTGAAATATCCAAAGCAGCCTAACTATTTTAGGCTTGGATTTTTTACAATTTTGCTTTTAACTTGCCTCCCATCCCAGCCCTGTGTGGATAATCTGGGGAAGATGATATACTTTCTAAATTTGCACTGTCTTGGGAAGCCCCTTTGCTGATTCAGCTTCTTCAGGTGGTTCCTGAAGATATTGAGCAACTCCATATGGTTCTGCTGGAATGAGTGGTAGTACCAGGGAGCACAGGAACGAAGCAGGGTGGTGAGACAGAGCCTCTTCTGGCAATCTTTACTTTCCATAGATCACCAGATGAGAGCTACTCAGGAATAAGCTATATCAAAAGGCAGAGATTATTATCACATTTGGGGTGGGATGTGTTTTTTGTTTTAAATGTATAGTAACTTGAGCAATAGTTAGAAAAATTTACCCAACGTGCTTAATAACTAGCAAGCTGTATCTTCCTCCAAATGCTAGTGTTACTCAGAACAACAATTCAAGCCAGGCTACAGAGGCAAGGGCAGGTGAACCTGAGCAGTTTACAAACAGAGCAAACATCGCCCTTGGACGCAGCCTTGGAGCACGCAAGCGGGATTCCCGGCGGGAAAACCGGAGCTGCTGCCAGCAAGGCTGCTTCTCCGGGAGGACAGCGAAGCGGGAGCAGAGGCTGGCAGCGCTGTACACACAGTGCTCCTCTCTCAAAACTGTTGCTGAGCAATGCAAGGAAAAAATTAGTTGTGGGTTGTTTTTTGTTTTTTTTTTTTTTCCTCTCTCAGTTGGAGATGAAAGTGTGAGGGTCCCTGCAGGCTTTACTGCAACCAGCTGATTTCTGCTGGTAATGCCTCAGACTTTGCTACGGACAGGATGAGGCTGATCTCTGGCGATGATGACAAGCCTGTTGATCTGCTAGAGGGTTGTAAAAATAACAGTGACAAGTCAATTGTAACCCAGGAGAACCGTGTGCCAAGTTCAAACCACAGGAGTGCAGATATGCAGTTGCAGCACTGAATGGAGTACTAAATACAACCACTCTCCAAGCGAGAGGCCTCACCACGTGTAGTGCCTTAACTTCCTCTTACAACCACAACTGTTCCAGAAACATGGCACTACTTTCTTTAATTCACAAAACAGTGGCATTTGGCAAAATCTAGAACAGCCAAAACCCCTCACCTTGCTAGCTTCAGTAGCAATAAATTATCTAAGCTGATTAATTTGAGATGCATAACTTGGTGTTTTAAATGTTCATGAAAATGAAACACCTTATCTTTTTGACGGAATTAACAGCATTATTAATTATAGCAGTGTGTTGCTATCCTGAAATCACCCATGAGCCAATAGCTCATTATTCATCTCCTTGTAAGCCACAGCTGTTAGCTGTGCTGTTGCTTTCTTTTTTAGAAGGGAGAGCAGTAACTTTCCCTTTTTTCCAGACGATGCTGTGGGTTTGCAATATCTCAGCTCTGTGCAGACAGATCTCTGCCTGCCACTTCTAGAGTTATGCTGATTTCTGCCAGAGAGGAGGATGGTGTGTTACCAGCACCTGACACAGTTGGGTGTCTGAAGCTGCGTGTGACACATGAGACAAGCAGAAGTCACAGAGTCAGTTATATTCCAGTGAGTTGTATGTCAATATCGAAGTGAGTTAGGTAGCAAACCAGAATGAAGCAGTGAATTACTTTCTAGTTTTAATCTTGCCAGATGTTGCCTCCTTTACAAAAAAATAAAAATATTTCAATTATTTTTATTTCTTTAAACTTACCACATTTTTGGGTATCTTGTATCCAGGCAGATATTTAACATTTTCATGTTCCTGGTTGATTATTTCTGAGAGTTTTCTTCCATTAATGATCTCTTCAAATACCCACATCTTGACAGTAGGATCAAATCTGTTGGACTTCTGGACATTTTTGCCAATGATTCTTGCTATGGCTGATCCCCTTTAAAAAGAAAAAGATTGAAATACCCAATAGAAAACAAATAATTTTATGGTGAATTGGAAACACAAAATACTTTAAACAGAATAACTCATAAAAGGCCTCTGCTATAAAGCTGTTTAGGGGCTTGCTACATTTATCAGAAAGCTTTATCCACTACTCTCATCAAAACCCCCTCATTTTAAAAACACAGAAAGTAGAACCAGGGAAAACTTAACTGTAATAAGGGATCTGAAGTCATACTGAAGATTATAAAGTGGGAGTGTGATGTACCATCAACAGCACTAAAAATACATTATCTGGCATTAAAATCTCTCTTACTCCTTGGATAATTCTTTTTTTCTGAAGACGAACAAATGTAAAGTAATCCAGGTGGTAAAGTAGTGCTGAATGATCTTGCTGTGACAGTCCTTGTGCATCTCGTCTAAAATAGATGCATCCCACTTTCCCACTGATAACAAACTATTGCAATAAGGATTTTATGTAAGAGTTAAGTCCTCAGAAATTGTTCTTTTCTTAAAAAAGAAAAACCACACCACAAAATCTTCAACTTGACGGTCTCTTTACTTATTGCTCTAATTATCACTGTAACAGGATCTGTAATAGTTGCAGCCTGAGGATATTTTAACCATCCAGTTTCTTCTTCTTCATTCATGCTGAGCATTTTTTAATCTCGGTTCAGACAATACTTTTATTTCCCCATCACCACTGCAGCCTTTCAAACATTCACTTACTTTCTGGGCAAGAGAGAATTAAAAACCCTGCAGAAAATATTGGAAGTATTGCTTAATGCTCTTTAAATTATATGGGGAGGAGGGGTGATTATTTTTACCCCTCTGTTTCCTTCTTCCATTTTAATGCTACTTTAGCCTTTCAAGTACTGGCCATTTTACTAACACAACTGGAAGAGGAGCTCCAGCTGCAACACTCTTGTCCTCTGACCCACTTGGTACCACACCTGCAGTGAGGAGCATGAACAGGGTTTAGCTGTGCTATGTTTTCTGGAACTGATAAAGGTCTCAAGTATATCCAAGACAAAGTCCAGATGGGTCTGTGCCGCCAGAGGTTCAAAGGGAAACGATGTTGTAACTGGCTCTCCTTGGCTCAACCATATTTTCGATGTAACAGGTTTGCACAAGGCTGAATTGCTCAATAAGTAATAAAAGAATTAGGGTTTCATCTTAACCTTTAACGATAAAGAAATCCTACTGAGATCAGATTTCACTTGCTCAGTGTTGACTATATGGTGTTGACTATATGCTATATCTTGAGCTGCCATAATGCTTTTTTGGGGTATCTTTTGTTTTGGGTGGTTTTGGTGGTGTTGTTGGGCCTTCTTTTTGGTTGTTTTTTTTTTTTTTTTCTTTTTTTAAAGGCTGATTGGCTTTGGTCATTTAAAATATTTAGAGAAATGTTTTAGGGGTGAACCTTTACTGTAGGAGTTCTGCTTTTTTGAAAGAGAGGCATGTAGTTGTATCATACATTCATATTATTTATATAATTATGTTTATTCTGTTTCTCTTGCCCTGCTATGGAAAGAGCACAATCAAGGCTTGAGCTGAGGATGAATTGTGGCTCTGCACAAGAATTGTGTATTAATAAGAAAAGTGGTTTTTTTACAGATAAACTTGAGATCTAAATTCATTGTTCAGGTAGTGCTGGAGTCTCCAGTACAACCTGGAGGATGAACTTAGACCTCAAGCATATCCATAAAAATAACTTCTCTAGCTATGTACCAAGTTCATATGATTTTCTGTTTAAAGATGCAGACTCCAGCTCTAACCTCTGAAATCCTGAATGGGACTCACAGCTCTCAGTAGATAAATCTGATCTTCCAGCAGAGCTGTCATTAACACCACACTTGGATGTTACCACGCAAGTATTTTCCTATTGACAAGATAATCAGTGAAAGTGTCTCAGGCATAAAGGTAGCTCCATAAATTACAGTAATTTTTTGTTTGGTTTCTCTTTAGATGAATGAGAATTTGGAGTAGTCTTCAGGGAAAATACCTCACCACGAAACCATCAAACAGTTTAGAACCTGATGCTCTGTTTGACTTAGTCCATTTAAAATTCAGTTGCCACTGATCAACCTTGGGAAGAAGAATTGCTTTGTCTGTGAAGGTGGTGCTCAGTAGACTACATAGGCTTGGCAGAAGAAGGCTACTTATGCAAACAAAACCAAGGACATTCACATATAAAGACTTTGCCATGGTTTTATTTTGTCCAAAAACTCAGTTTAGTGAAGATTAATAGAAGGCAGAGAACTCCACTTAGATAATTTTTGAAAGTAAGTGAAAACTGTCAATCGGGTTTTTTTCCCCCCCAGTTATGTTAATTCATGTTGGAAGTGATTTACACATTTCTAAGAAAAAGAAAGCTTTTATCTGGAGATTTCCTCTCAGTATAATGAGAAAGCTTTGATGTAGAATAACTCAAATAAGACCCCTTATTTACATATGTGAATATGAAAGTGTTTGTGGCATACATCAGATCTGGTGAAAAATAGAGCTGAGTGGACCCCATGAGGCACCTAGTCCTTTCCTTATACAAAGGGCAGTCAAATATACTTATGCTGTCCCTAATAGTTTTTCTGAGGTGGCCTTAAAGACCTCAGCAGTTCCTTGTCTCTTCCCTTCCCCAACCAGCCCATCCCAGGACTCTGCTATCCTTAGCATTAGAAAGATCATCCTCATGTTTGACCTAAGTCTTTCTTACTGCAGTTTAAACCTATTAGAAGCGTGGAATATTGTTTTTCTCCTTTAGATGCTTAAAGATGATTGTGTCTTCCTCCAACCCGTTTCTTAGCCAACCACCCCAATTTTTTTTTTTTTTTATAGTATTGCTCAGGCTGGAAGGGACTATGGGAGGTCTCCAAAGTGGGAACAACACAGAGTTCAGATGGGTTGCTCAGGCCTTTGTTCAGCTGAGCCTTGAAAACTCTCCAAGAACCATCTCCTCTCTGGGCAACCTGCCCCAATGCTTTATTTTTCTCATAGTTATGTTTTTGTGGTTTTTTCTTTCCTCTTTTTATACACTGAGTCAGAACTTCCTCTGGTTCAATTTATTACCTCTGGCTCTTGTTTTCCTTCCATGCACCTCCATAAAAAGCCTGGTTATCTGTCCCTGTTGAAGACAAGAACCTAGTTCAAGCTGGATCTTCGCTGAGGACTCTGCAGTCCAAATGAATCTAAGAAGATTGAGAGAGCTTTTGGATGCTGAAGGGCCAGGCAGTGAATTAAACCTCTATTTTTAAAAACGGATAACTGAACCATGATTAATGTAAACACAAACCCTCCTGCACCTGGCTGGCAACCGCAAAATGCAGTGCAGCTCTTGCTTCGCTTCGCCATATCACTCGTGAGTCTCCTGGCAGCGTTGGCATGGTAAGTCCCTGTGACCTGCTGAACTTCTGCAGCTGACATGAGGTATTGCAACATCCTGCGTCACATGGCAGCCACGTTTCTGAGCTCCAGGAAGGACTCGGGAGCAGTGATCTGAACTGTCACCCAAATATTCAAGAGGAATATAAGAAAAAAATAATGTTTGCCAAAGATAAACATTGTATTTCTATGTTGTGCTAATAGAACCTGTTCTGCCACAGAGGCTATGAATAGATGTGACTTAAACATCAGAGCACAATGTTGAGCTACTCCCCAAAAATTTTACAGTCTATGTATGTGGTAGGAAGCAAGAGATGGGCCCGGGGAGACAGGCAGTATGAGTAAGTAGATAGTACTGAATGAGCTGAGGTCTCTGTATCTCTGTGGCATAACTCTTCCTGAGTTTGTAGGTACATGTGAAAAAAAGAGAACTTTCTCGAGTACAGCTCTGAAGGAAGACAACGAAGTGGTGTTGGCAAATGTCTTATGGCAAAGGGACAGCCTGGGGAAGGCAGGAGGTGCTTGCTTGAGGATGCAGCAAAAGAATGATGAAGGCTGTCACTTGTGGGCTGACCAAAGGTAAAAGCTGACTGCCAGACACACAGCCTTGGCTGTGGAGGGGCTTGGAAGTGACAGTGAGCTGCCTGCACAGGCTTGGGTGCCTGTGGTTAAGGTGAGGGAGAAGAGGGGAGCTGGGGAGGGATGCAAGCACTGGAATGACACGGTGAAAGTGGCAGTCAGAGAAATGCTGGTGCAGAAATGATGGGGCAGGACTGCATCCGTCAGGGCCAGAGAAATCCAGACACAATGACGATATGTTCCTGAAGAAGACTTAGCTGTGCAGCTACGTGTGAAAGGCTGTATCTGAGAGATGTCATGCACAAAGAGCCTGTGATCCAGAAAGAGCATGCATGCGGGGGCTTAGAAAGCAGTGGACTGGTTTTGCAAGGCAGGAAGGCAAAGAGGCATGCTTTAACTGTGCTGTGTTCTCAGCAACTCACAAGCAACCACTCCCTCACTTATCGATTATTTTTTGGCATTTGCTTCCATTTAGCTGCCAGATATTTTAAAAACCTTAAGGAGCTTGCCTTCCTTGAACAAAAACAATCCATAGAACTACCTGGAGGATGGGTTTGCTAATCTTAAGTGCATGCACATACATGCTGGTCTGTTTGTTTGTGGTCAGCTTACATAAACAGTAAGAAAAGTAAGATGCAAAGTCCAGTGAGATAGGGTTTACTGACTTCAGTGGGGTCTGTCAGACTCAAGGAGATCTGGAGAGCCGTGCTTTTGTCCAGACTAGGGAGGACTAAGCACTAGGAAACATATTCTTATGAACAGGGATAAAGATAAATGGTGCGACCTGAACGCAGTGCTTGTACAGGGCTGTATCTGCATCGAGATGCCAGACGACATGCTGACGAGGGTGGAAGTGAAAGGTGCCATTTAGTCAGGGCTTTAAATAAAGCCTCTGCCCCGGCTCCTTCAAAGGAATACTACAAACAGCACCACTGCTCTGCTCACTACTCCGTGCTTGCACTGAACCTGCCCGGGCCCTGCCACGGCCACGCACGACCACCGGGGCACGGCTCCGGGCTCTCGCTGCCCTGTCACCGGGCTTTAAATGGCTCACCCGCCCCGGCGATGCGGGAGCCGGTGCGTCTCCCAGGGACGGCGGTCCCCGCCCACGGAACCCACAAGGCCGACGCGGGGCACGGTCGGGACCGGGGCCGCGGTTTCAGGACCATGGAGACCCCCCCCCCCCGGGCCCCCGCCGCTCCCCGCCCCGGACCTGTTGCGAGGCCCCCGGCAGCGGCGGGGGGAGCCGGCCCGCTGCGGGGAAGGGGGGGGGGGGGGGTGCAAGAAAACAATGAAGGAATGAGATAAAAGCGAGGGAAAAAAAAAAATGGGATGGAAGGGAAGAGGGCAGGGGAGAGGCGGGGGGGACGGAGGGTTGCCCCCCACCAGCACGCTGCGGCACTCACCAGTTCCCCGAGCCGACGATGCAGACGCGGAGCGGCGACATGCTGCGGGCTGCCCGCCCGCCCGCCCGCCGCTGCGGCTCGGCTCGGCTCGGCTCGGCTGGGCTCGGCTCGGCTCGGCTCGGCTCGGCTGGGCTCGGCTGGGCTCGGCTCGGCTCGGCCCGGCCCGGCCCGGCTGCCAGCGCCGCCCCTCGGGGCCCGGCCCCCGGTACCCGCGGGGGGGGCCGGGCGGGCGCGGGCGGCGGCCCCGGGGCTGGGCCACCCCCCCGGCCCCGCCTGCGGCCCCGGCGGCTTCTCTGCCCGGGCTGCTCCGTCCCCGGGCGTCCGCTGGGACCGGGGGGAGGCGGGGGGGGGGAATGGGGAAAATGGTGCCTTCTCTGAAATTCACGGGGGTGAGGAGCTTGCGTGGGGAGGGCGGGGGAGCCCGGCACTTCTCGTGGCGCGGGCCGTTCCTGCCCATCGGCAGCCCCCCCCCAGGGTTCCTGCAGGGTGGGTGAAGTGGCGGGGTTCGGGAGGGGTACAGGCTGGGCCCTGAGGTCGAGGTCCCGCCCGTCCCGCCAGCCAGACACCTAATGGCTTAAATTCTTCTGATAGATGAGGAGCACTGCTGGGGGAGGTTATGAGTGCGTTTGCAGAGCCAAATTCAGCTGATGGATCATGGACTGTATCACAGTTCTTAATGTGGGACATCAAATAAAAGTTACCTGCAAGGAAGGACAAAGCAGTGTCGTTCCTTTTCTCCTACGTGGTCTAATCATGCATGACGCCCTACAAATTACCACATTTTACCTCTCAGCCCTCCACTACACCCTGTCCCTTCTTCAAAGCAGCCTTCTCTCTCATTTTTGAGCCGAAGAGCTGCATTTTTGCTACTTTCCCTGCGCTTACACTCCTGTTTCCCCTCCTCCTGCCATGCCCAGGCTCTCCTCCCTGCCGGGGGCTGTAGGCTCGGCGGTGACCACATCTGCTGCCCTCGCACCGGAGCGTGGCTCAGCGTGACAAGGACAAGGACGCCTGGCCCCGCCATTCGTAGAAGGAGGCTGGCTGCCAGCGTTTCAGAAGCCTGTGGGTGTTTCTGGAGGTGCACATATGTTGAGCTCGCCTGCTGTCAGCTTCATTGGCTCAGCAATTTGTGCGTCCTGATGGCGGTGAGAGTGTTTGGGAACATTACAAACAAACTAGGGCAAAATCCTGCAGAATGATGTCTTGAGAAAATGACCAGGACAGGTTGCTGAAAAGGAACTTGTGGCTGGGACCCTGGGCAGGTGTGGAGCCTGATGAGGAGCTCTGGGAGAAGATGCATTACCCACGTGCACAGTTTGAGCACAGCCAAGACACAAGAGCCTTTCTCCAGTTCCAGGTGCGTTTCCTCCAGTCTCCTCCTTGTCTACCATGATTTGCTCTTTCCCTGGGTGTATAGCTCCTCCTTAGCTCTCTTCTCTCTTTAACTTATTCCCCACAGTGAAAAAGATCTACCGTGGAGGTGAGGAGGAGCCATCATCCTTCTCGCCCTGTTCAGCCCCTGAGAGTTCTCTGCTTCTTGCAAGCGCTTCTGTCCCGGTGAGTCCCCAGGCCCCAAGGGGAGGACACGCTCACTGAAGCACTGGCTTCTGCAACTAACGCCTGCAACAGACGATGTCCCTGGTCTATATAGCACGTAAGTATTGCAAACTGTAATGGTTTCATCTAAATTAATATGGGCGCTTTTAATTAAAAAGGAGAACTGTATCAGTTCAGTGGCCTCTGGAGTGATGGATTTATGTGCCCTCCCCATTCAGGTTGCACTGACCATTTGGTCGGTGCACAGAAGCTGGCAGGGGTGAGGCTGGCAGGGGAGGAGCAGGCAGATGGATACGGCGGCACCTGTGAAGAGCGGAGGACGCGGCCTGGGACTGTGCGTGCACACATTAGCCTATACATCTGTGACACTAATCGGCTGTGGAAGTAGATAACTTGTACTGCTGATGAACTGTCCTCTGGATTTGTGCAGTCACTGCTCCATGGAGATGGATAGGAGAGCATTCACGCACAAAGGACTGTTCCGGGCAGTCTGCAAGGCAGTTTTACTCAGCAGGTTCAGATGTCAAGGCTATCTCAGTGAGGGTGTTGTATGGGGACACAGAACGGCCCAAGAATGGGTCATTTGTCAGATTCTAGAGCCCTGGAGCCATACAGCACACATGGGCAGATGCTGATGCCTATTGTTTTATCAGGCAAGAAGAATCTGTTCTTTCCCGAAAAGGCAAAATGTTTGTTTTTCCCATCAGCCCAGGAGCACCACCTCTCAAGTGTGAGTCATTAGCACATAACAGACATAAAAGCTCGGTCCACTTAACAGGGAGGATAGACAACACGCTCAAGACCACCCCCACCCAAGCTCACCTGATCTTCTGCACCTAATGGGTCATGCACGTGTCAGCAACTGGTGATTACACAGCCAAAAAATTTTCCTCTGCCTAGCAGCTAATGCAAACAGAAAAACCTCATTATCAGTGCTGCAAAGGCAGGGCAGCCAACAGGCATTCTTTCTAAGCCAGGTGTGGCTCTTTCTATGATGGTAATACAGTCTTCCAACACCTTGAAAAATGTGACTGAGAAATGCCAAACTGGGCAGGCACCAGGCAGAGGATGGGCAGGGAGAAGCAGTGGGGCTGGGTGCTCTGTAGAGAGGGACCTGAGGGCAAGGTAAAGGGCAGTACGCTCTGTCTTACGGTATAGATACAGCCATTGTGTACTTTGCTCCCTCAGCCACCAGTTGGTGATGTTTGGGCACCCTACACTATTGGGTGTGTAGGGTAAACCAGGTGAGTATGGGGTAGGGCCAGTCCTTGGTTTTCCTTCCCTGCACGAGCTGGAGCTGGGCCTGGAAGGAGACTCTCTGCCCCGTTCTTGCTTCTACCTCACAGCCTTATCGTGCTCCGTCTTAAAACTGGTTTGGTTTTGCCCCCTCTTCTCCTACTGAGAAGCTGTTTGCAACCATTACTCTTCTCACAGCAACAGCCCTTCTCATTTCATATCTGATTTATGACCATATCCAACTTAGCACAAGCACTTACACCCATATCTGTTCTAGCACAAGCACTATCTATAAATGTGAATGATTCTTCTTCCGTGATGCTTATTCTCTCCCTCTGACCACCTTAAACCCCACATGTATTTACAGAGAGGAACCGGATCCCTTGCCACTGATCATTTTGTCAAGCTCAGCAAGACATGCTCTCTTATCTCCTCTTTTCTCTTCCTCTGATTATCTGGATAGCACTTCTCTGTGTACCCGTTCCAGCATAAATTCAGGCTTGCTGAACACTGATAACCTGAGTGATACTCTAAAATCTCAGCAGAATTTTACCTGGGGCCTTGTATATATTTACTTATTGTTCCTGGAAATACATGGCATGCTACATGTAAGACTGCATTTACCTTTTTAATAGCTACATCAGGCACATGACTCTTCCTTTTCTGTTGTTCATAGTGGATAATTTTTAATTCATAGCAGAAATTTTATCAATCTCTCAGTGCATGTCTCTGCATTTTATGCTGTCACATTTCATCCCATGCCTGTTACTAGGGCATAACTATCATACAATTCTTCCTGTAGGATTTCCTCTCTATTGAAAATGTCTCCCAACTTTATCGTTAGCAAATTTCATTACCCCACTCATCATTTTTTGTGCCAAGCTAACTAATGAAATTATTCAGTAAGACCAATTCCTCCAGTCCTACAATTTTGCTATCAGCCCTATCAGCAGTTTGCTCCCCCAATACTGTTCCTTCAGCATTTTATAGTGTTTAGGTTAATCCTCATCTTTCTGAGTTTAACTAATAATTATCTAGGTAATATCAAATCAAATGCTTTACCAAAGTCCAGGTTGATAAGATTTATTAGTTCTCCTTTGTCCACAAACGCAATTATCTTAACAAAGAAAGACGTTGGATCAGTCTACATATAACATGCCTAGCTTATACTTTAACCCATTTTCTGCTTCCCTCCACCTCTTTTGTTACTCATGGCTAACATTTGCTCTGAAAAGCTTATAGATTTCAGTGTTGGAGTTTATTCAGTCTTCAGAAGTGAAGGGTAAAGAACTCTTGAGTTTTGTGGCTGTGTTGCATGTGATAGTTTCCATATCCATGCCCTTTAGCCCATTAAGTGTGCTGCCTCTGCTCTCTGGGGTTACATTTTCTTCCTTATGGAAACTGAAGCAATATATTCCTTTAGCTTTTAGATATCTGCCCTGCTGTTATTGCTGGTGATGCTTTCCTTTGTTTCCTTTGTAATCATGCAGCTAATACCCTTTTGTTCTTATTTTCCTTCCCTGTGCGGGTTTGACTGATTTGTTTTGGTTTTGAGCTGTACCTTAATTTTGGATGTTCGAAGGATAGTTTTCTCTGCATGTCACTCTCTTCTTTTTTTTTTCACTAGGCTTTCTGTGTATTCCTAAGATGTCCTGCATTGTCTGCATCACAGTTCACATTCTTTGCGGGCATATGGAGCTATGGGTAGTATTCTGCCTTATTTTGTCTTATCTCTTTGGAGAGAAAGGAAGCCTCTTCTGTCTAGTGTCTACTTGGAAACAAAGCAGCATATGAATTTTGCACTCCCTGGGGTGGTGACCAGATAGCATTGCTCCTCGGCATCTCTAGGAATTCAGGCTTCAGAGTTTAGGGAAAGAGGAGCTGAAAATTGAGCTTTTTTTTTGCTGAACCTTGTGTGCTGATCTCAACGGGGCTCAAAAATTCAGCTTCCTCACATGTGTAGCCATGGGTAGGGTTAAGGTTGGGGGAGGTCTGGAGTTTAGAACAAGGGCTTTCAAGTTCAACCTGGGTGTAGCCAACCCACTGTGAGTGTTCACAGAAACCTTTCCCCGGCTGAGGTCTGCAGACTGTTAAAACCCAACCACTTCACCTCTCCCCAAACTGCAAGCGCCACACCTGATCCTCACCTTATGCTAGGCAGCCTGCTGGACATCATTAGCATCAAAATTGCTCATGTATCACAGGTCTCTTCATTTTCCACTGGAAAATATTTGCACAGAAGCTTTCCCTGAATTATATTCCAAATGGAAGATTTGTTTGGTTTAAATGTACATATATAAACAGGAAATTATTGTATGCTTGATTACTTTTAATTATATGTAGTAAATAATA